GTAATGATTTTGGTCTATTATTGACTTAGTTTTGTCTATAATTACGCCATCTACTGGAGAACACTTGTCTTCTAATTTTCCTCAACTGTTTATTTAAATCATTATTTTTAAAGGAATATTGCTGTCAGCTTCCTTCAATATTGAAAAAGTAATAAAAAGGGTCAAATTGACACTTTTTGGGAATCAGCCTGAAAATTAATTGCACGGTAAAAGGGTTAAAAAATGTGGGGGTGGAATAATCGTTCTCATCTTGGATTGGTCGTACGTCAATAAGTTTGTTTAAACCAAGATTACCAATCTAAGTTATATACTCTAAAACTTAGACGATATAAAACTTAAATTGTAAACTACGTTTTCAAGCCAAGCTTGTTATTAATAAACAGATTTGATTACATTTAAAATGTAACAAAAAGTCCCCGATCATGCTGGACTTTATAAAAACCAAAACAATGTGCGAACTAATCTTGGATCAGATGTATGTTGCTGAGAACATCGGTGATTCTGGTTTTAAAACATCTATATGAATAACCAGTCTAATTCTGGTGATTTGAGCGACTTACTCACCACCATAGTGCAGGTGACTTGAGTGACTTATTCACCATAGTGCGGGTGATTTGAGCGACTTACTCACCATAGTGCGGGTGATTTGAGTGACTTATTCACCATAGTGCGTGTGATTCGAGCGACTTACTCACCACCATAGTGCGTGTGATTCGAGCGACTTACTCACCACCATAGTGCAGGTGATTTGAGTGACTTATTCACCATAGAGCGTGTGATTTGAGCGACTTACTCACCATAGTGCAGGTGATTTAAGTGTAAATAACATTCATGTCTTGGTTGCTTTAGCAGGGGAATTTACATTCAATCAAAATATAAGTATCTGACACGTGTTTGGGGGAATTTCACCCATTATCAGTAACCCTGGACACAACACAGGAATAGTTTTATCGTGGTAAAGAATAACTTGGTAATTTCAACCGAAAACAAGTTTTCCGTCGTGAGTAAAAGTAGTCAATTTTAATAATTCTCTTTTAAATTATACCTTTTGTTAAGTCAATTAAAACCGTTTGCTTTATTAAGTTAAATGTTTTAATGCACTTTCTGAGCACGAACTTAATAATTGGTATTTAATAAAAAAAGAATAAGTATTAATTAGCACTGCCTTTTCTTATTTGAGAAATAATTTTGATTAGATGAAGTTTGTATCTTGATTTCTTTATGAATATTCTGTTGAGCTTTATTGAAAATTAAAACAAAACAATACTAAAAATATTTTTATGCTGTGTATGCCTTTTACAAGCTGGCGAAGAATGATTACAATTGTACTTATCGTGAAATATTATTATTAGGCCTATTACGTTTTAAAATACCACATTCATAATTTCATATTTTAGGGATTTTTAAGAATTAGAAGAATGGATAATAAATAATATTCCAATCACACTATATTCGATAATATCTATTTCCGACGACGCGTTTCGCTCAATCCAAAGCACTTCAGGTCGGCTGGGATGCAACATACGTGTAGAATGTAATATTTAAAAATGTGGTAGGCCTAATAATAACGTCTTATGATAAATATTATTACAATACAATCTGGAGTTGTAAAAAAAAACGCCAATAAAGACCGCGAAACGCAAAACTGAAAATTTGTATGTGCCCTTGCCTAGACCAAATGAACCTCCATACTAATTTTGGTGAAGATCCCTCCTCACCCTGCGAAGTAGTTACATGGACAGACAGTATTATTATATTTGTATAGATATTTCAAATGTTAGTGTGCTAGAATACATTGTTAAGTCAGGTGTATTCGTCGTTCACGACTTCTCCTGTATTTGCAGTTATCTTTAACAATACGGTGAAAGTAACATAAATAGTTAGAAAAGCAGTAACTAGTTTTGTGAGAAAATTAAACGTTTTATCGATACAGGTTCACCCTACAGAAACGCCCTCTCTAGTGCTGTACTGAATCTACAGGAAGCAGGAGTGCTTTACATACTGAAGGAAAGGTGGTGGAAAATGAAAGGAGACAAATGCAAAGATGATAGCAGTAAAGGGTCCGGGTCTACCAGCGAAATGGGTTTGGCAAATGTAGGGGGCGTTTTTGTAGTGCTTCTTGCAGGTCTTGGTGTTGCTTGTATTATCGCAATTATGGAGTTTATATGGAAAACACAGAAAGTAACTAGGGACGAACGGGTAAGGAGAGACGGTGGTTAAATCAATGTGTTTTAGTAGACACTAATAACCCGTTTTCATTACCACTAACCCTAACTAATAAAAATTTGTATGTTTTCGATACTAGAAAAACTAATGTGTTTGGTTGTTTTTTTACTGTGTTTTGGGGGAATTTAAAATGACTAACTGCGGAAAATCTTTTTTGTTTTATTAATACTTGATATGAATAAAATTTTTGAAAAAAATAATTTCCGAGACTTAACGAAAGTAAAGTAGTCCTATCAAAGTTAGGCCTTTCTTGAATTCACTAATCTAACAAAATACTCTTCATGGTTTCGCAACCCATTCCCTGCTGCCTATATGTTCTTAGTGATTACTGAGGGTTAATCGCACTTCCTCAGAACGATAATCCACTCTTATACTGCCCTTAGAATTACTTAGCCCATTGTAACAAGCTTCGGTGAAGTTAACCTTTGACCAACTTTCTAGTGAACGTATGCTTCCAAAGGCACAAAAGTCCGCCCTGAATTGCATCGAAGGACTTCGCAGGTATGTTAAATAGGATTGTTTGATTTCACTTACTCCATCTATCTGTTTGATGAAAACAACCATTGATTTTTGAGGAATGTCTGGAAGCTATTGGCCTATAGTACTTTGTCAAGACAAATTCTAGTTTATTTCAAGTTTAATTATAATTACTCTTGGTTCTATTTCCTATCCATAACATTCATTTTTCTTGACGAGTTTGTGGTTGTTGTAAGTCCTCCGAGGAACATATTTGAAGCCTTTAGCTGTAATAGTTTTAAAATTTCACTGTAACAATATACTTTCATGAAAAAGTCAGTAACATATTCCTTTAGTCCTAACTCTATCTGTTGCCGTATTACACTAACATACAGTTGAACATTCGCCCTGGAATAAAATGTAAAGTTCTTACACATTTCTTACGGGTCTCTACTTTTCTCGTCTCTGTAAAGTGCGATTAACCGTCTGAGTAAAACTCCGGGTTTCAGAATAACTGAATATTATGCACGTGATTAATATCTAAAAGTAATTAATTGAAGCTTAAATTCCAGAATATGCATGGAATCGTTGTTAGTCCTAAAAAACAGACTTTCACACAGCAGCGTATCGGGAACTTCAAATACGATTGAACACAACCATCTTATCTTAAATTTGAACATCCTACTTCAAAAACAGTCAAATCCATTTTAAAAAGTCGAAAATATTGATGGTCAGAAACAGCTTAAGTTATCAAACTTCAAAATTTTGCCGTTATAGATCCAGCGCTAAATTTACGACAATTTGTCTTAATTTTTTGATGAACCAATTATATAAGCTCTTAATTATAAATGCAAAACTCTCCGCTGTAGACCTTACACGTCGTGTTTATTTTTCACAAGGAAAAGTAGTTTTATACAAATAATTAGCAGTAACGTCCGACTGAATTATTGTCTGCCAACTTCAGAAATGTCTTTTTTTTTTTTAAATCTTGAACGAGAAAATTGCAATAAAATTATTTTCAATTGTATGATTAGGAGAATGTGTGGTAAAACTATTCCCATTGTATATGAAAATAAATCATAGTCACATTTTCTGTCAATATGTTGAATATCCTAGGTTCTGCTTACAAACAATCAACCCTAAAAGTTAAATTGTTTATCATACATAACCTTACTATCAAATATCGTTTTGTCCTGTTTTTTCACACGCCTCAGAATTCCAGAAATCAGTGATACACGACGTGTTATTAGGTAAGTATTATTATATATTTTTTCCTACTATTTTTGGGATTAATAAAGAAACTACAAACAGATTAATGTTTATATTACTATTATTTTTTCTTGATATAATTCCATGCTCGTCAGAAAATATTTCCAAACGCCACCTACCAGGTCAATTTGAGAAAAACGCCACCTACATTCTTTGCGTTTATGATATTAATATTTCGAGGTTGAGTTTTAAAAAACTACAATTTCTCATGATTTATAATCTAATGTTTTTAGGATAAAATTAGCGTTATAGTTAATTTCTTTCAACATTGTCTATTGTCATTAAAAATTAATTATCAGGTCAGAGGTCTTTGCTTCACACACTAACTTTCCCTTTAGGCCTTATTTTTAACTCTTCCTTACCCCTAAAATCCAATGCACGCTGTATACCAAATTATTTTTAATCCTTTAGAATTAATATAACTTGTTTTTAATACTTTAGACGTTAGAAGAACAGATTCGTAATTTCAACAGCTACCAACTAAATAAATAAATTAATGAAAATAATTTACAAATTTGTTTCACAATATATAAGAATAACTCTTCTCAAAAATATTTTATTTTTCAACTGACTTACTTTTGCTAAGGTCGTTATTAAAACTTAAAAGGGGTATTATACTTTCTCTGATAATCAAATTTTTACAGGATTCCCTGTGCACGGAGATGTTTCGTGAAATACGCCTAATACTCTCATGTCGAGGATCTTCACGACCCGCTCCAAAAACACCCGACGAAGGCTCACAAGCAGACGGCATTACGCTGTCTTCATTAAGAACTGTCACCAGTGTGAATACGAGGCCATAATTACGTTAGGCCTATAACAATTACGTTTACTACGGCAGATATTTTCTGTAAAACGCATTATTCGGTCGTAGAGTTCGTTTATTATGATTTTATCCAATCAATTCAACAAACAATTAGAAAAAAAAGTCTAGTCCCGTGCCATGGGTACCAATCCTACGTCATTAGATTTATTTTGTAAAGTAACAACGACATTATTTATACTTTAGAAGCGAAAAAACTCCAGTACGAAATTAAGCAGTTAATTCTGCCTTAAAGGTATTTTTATCTTCAAATGTGTTCATAAATTTTTATGAATTAGTACTTCCAATAAACTGTGTTATGTTAACCAGCGTGTGTTGTTCGTATAATAGTGAAGTTGTAAATTATAGAAATTATTGACGAACATTAGAAAAACTTGCACCAGATATTTGGCAACATCCTCTACATTCGCACGAGAATAAGTTCGATCCAACGCTCAGTATTAATTCAGTTGGGTGTTTCATGGAGCAAATGTTAATTTTGTATTCCAAGCGTACTATCAAGTGTGTTAACACCTAGTACTAGTCAGGAAGATGGGTTGATGATTCCTAAACAAAACTTTATGGTATTATTTTTAAATTTTGAACAGAGATTTGAATTCCTTACGATATCTGAATTCTAACTAGTTACCAAGCTACAAATTAATATAACCGATCTCCCCCCCCCCCCCCCCATCCAAAACATGGTAATGGCGCAATACAATATCTGGTTCTTCTGTTCTATAAAGCCGTTTTCTCCGCGGTTTTCGCGTCTATGGAGATGCCCGAGTAAGGCCCACGAACTTAGAAGACGCTCTCGGGTAGATAACAGCAGTAATTGCCTGAACATAAAAACTTTTAATATTTTCTGCAAAAGGAACACAATCCGGCCGACCCCTAAATTCCGCATCTTCGCGACGGTCACTATTGTAGTTGTTGGAGGTTCCAACCCTTTATCAAATTTTTTTTGGTTCGAACTTGACACTCGTCTGTAACCAACCCCCCAAATTCGGTCTCATTGACTTACAGACTGAAAGTTAAAAAGAAAACTTTCACGTTAATCTGTCTTGTATTTATAACAAAGATACTAAAAAAACGTCTACGACCCCTAATTTTGAACTACTCATGATGAGGGATTGACTGTCCCTCTTCTAAGACACTCACAACTTAAAGCGTGTGTGTGTGTGTGTGGGGGGGGGGGTTCGTTTGAGGTATCGCTTGTCTTATAATCGGCCTCAAAGGTCGTATAAGATGATCAGTTTACACATTTTTTTTCCTTACGTTTGAACGTAGAATTCATGTAAAATGGGCTAAGCTCAAACATTACATGGCACTGATTGCTCACAGGTAAATCTAGTGCCATCTAGTTTCTCAAGCTGTAATTATTTGCAATTAACAACAAAATGTGACCATTTTGCATCTGTTACTACTTCAACCTATGCCAATTACCACAAGATAAAAACCAGACTAGAAATGGGGGTGAGGATGTAATATTAATCATACTTTTAAAAACTTGATGATAATTTATTAAACATTTATAGATAAATAATGCAACTTCAACGGCCAACAGCCGCGCTTTTCGTTTGTTATATAGTTCAATACATCACGTACCACAGACCAAATAGCACTAACCATTACAATTAATTAGACGCACATAATACTGTCTTTAACACTTTGTATGGCACTCTTTAATTAAAGTTAAAAACATACATAGGAAAGAAATTCTGTTTAAACGAAATATTCTCCAAACTATTTTGGCCAAGTAAGGTGGTAGTAAAAAAGGTATAGTTTTATGTATATTTTAACTTTTCCAGTAGTATTCAAATACGTAATTTGTTTGTTAAAACTCTTTCTCATTATGCAGTGTGTTCAAACCATATTATGCACATTAATTCTAGACTAATGCAGAAACCTTACCTTTCACATCAGTTTTCGTCAACAGAACTTTCGGTGAGAGGTGCATAAACGAAAAACGTTAGGCCTACATCGTAGGCTGTGGTGACTTCCACTCAAAATGTTTACCGCTCGTAATATGTTTAAAAACACTGTTCTCAAATATTATACAAGCTACGTACACTAAATGCTAACATGAATTAATCTCATGATACTTTTTACCCATTCGTTTCGAATACTTATATTACGATATTAAACGCCGAAAACCGGCACAGAACTACTAGGCTTAATGTTTACGATAAAAAAAATCGGAACACTGCATTTTCCCCTCCACATTCCTTTCAGTTACTTCAAAGATTCCACGTTAGAGGGATGTAGAAAACATCATGAAGGTATAACACCAAATTTTTTTACTTAAGATACGTCTAACATACACAATTATAAATAAATGACTCCTGTGTTACTTACTTGCTATGTGGTAGGTTTTTCTTTTTTTTAAATCAACATATTTAACTCTTAAGGTTTAAGCTTTTTCTAGGGCCCATGAGCTGGTCGGAAGACTAGGCTTAAAAACACGATGTCGCGAAAGCTTGTGGCTAATTAAAAAAAAAAAAAATGATTATACGGTGAAAACGTCCGACAGATCTGTCATAAATTTGAAACTATTCGCGTATAAGGTGACATTAGAAGAATCTGTATGAACATGGCTATATTGCTAGTAAAGGTACTGATTTTCAATACAGTATCACCTTTAAAGAAGCTAGCCAATTGGGTTCTCGTAAATTTTAATACACCTTTTTTTTTTGTGGGAGTTTGACCTTTATTACCATGCACAGAGTTATGACGGAGACAGAAAATCTTGTTAAAATAAATTCGCCGAAAGAAAACTAAGTTTAGCGAGATATAATTCAGAATAGTAATTAATTTTACGATTAAAAAAAAAACGCTCAAAACTTTTAAATAGATAATGTTCATACATGTAAACATTGCATTAACTTTTCTAATACAACCCTCTCGCATTTAAAAGTTGCACAGTAACCAGGCCCTATCATTAACAGTTGTTCATTAAACTGCTATACAGTGGTTGTGACATTTTTAAATTTAAAAACAAGACTGAAGCGTTGCCCATTAATTGGCAAAAGAAAAGAAACTGGTTCGTGGGGCAAATTCTTAGCCACGAAAAGTGTGAAAAATATGCGACTTGCACGTGGTACAGAATCAATTAATTAATTCCATTGCTTCGATGGAATTGGGGTACGCGCGCGCACAAATTACGATAAATTTTTTTCAGGGTGCTACTATCTCTCTCAGTATT